CGGTTTTTGATCCCGGCTTGAAGCAATCGAATATTTAGTCACACAGATGAGCTGTGATACAGCGATACCGGCTTGTATGTGACTATATATATATATATATATATATATATATATATATATATATATATATATATATATAGGTAAAATGAGAATAAATGGAACATAATTCCACTGTCCGTAACATTTGAGAGAGCTCTATTCAGAGTATAGCTAAATATTCATTTTAGGATATTAAAAACATGTTAAAAAATCGCTACGCAACTGCAATTATGTTTCAACACTACAAATGTGTCTTATCGGGTGATGATAAAAATATAGTTTTAGGGTATGTTATATTTATGGATATAAGTACTCAATATTAAGGATAGAGGGTATGTAAATATAAAAACTGACATTGAGATTAACTTGGAGCGGCAACAGTCTGTTTCACCCTTGAACGCAAGCTTTTCGACGGCGTTAAAAAGTGCTCACGTCCTGAATATTTTGTTCAGACTATCACCGCTTGGTTTTGATTCCAGTGTCCACTTTTATATATATGCGTTGTGCAAATATTTCTAGGTATTGATATAATTTTGATCTAATGTTTTCTTGCTTTGTGAGTTCTATCATCCTTAAAGGTATCGAACCAGATTCAACAGATTTATGAGTCAGATCTAAACAAAAATGAACTATTACAACCCTGTCTGATCTGGCGCTATCTAATCCTTACTTTGCGGCCTTTGTGTCGTCTTGTATTGAGTAACTTATACGCCCTGCTGCGCCATGTTTTCTACAAACGTAATATTTGTTGCAAAGCTATTGCTGAACTATGGTAATTCCACTCGCAATCGTAGAGATGAGTTACATTTCATAGTTACTCAAGTTCTTTACAGCTAAGAGTCATCATGCTAAGTTCAAAGATTTAAATCATTCCCTCCGCATTCCATTTGTAAGGAAGAAGTTCGACTTTTCCCACAAAAGCTGATATTAGAGAAAAATAACTCCCTCGTGGATACTTCCCTGAACATTAGAATCTTAATCTTTTCAACTCATGAGTCCATCGTTATCTATCCTCCTCACTTTCCTCATCTTTTTTTCCTTCTTTTTCCTCTTACATTCATATCACAAACCTCATTCCGACTGGCCCTTAAGCTTATCATTGGGCGAAATTTAGTAATAAGAAAAAATAAAAAAGAAACACTGTTTCAGCGTCTGTCTTTGAGTATTGGCTACGACGCCAGTCTTGCAGTTTCCTCTCAACACGCATCACTGGGCGCCCTAATATTTTTGACTGAAATATATATGAAGGTCACATCGGAGAGCGAGAGTTACCAAGCTTATCAGACAGATGATTACTCGTGATTTATTTTTTACGGGTTGTTTCACAACGGTGGTATAGTGTTAAACTATCTCTGGTGACTTCTAAGGGAACCTGATGTCAGTTGAGAGATAACAAGCCAATCATACAGACTGTAATATATATATATATATATATATATATATATATATATATATATATATATATATTGTATGTGTATTATCAGTGATAGAGCTAACATATTCAGTTGTATCGATATCCATACAACTGAATGTATATATATATATATATATATATATATATGTGTGTGTGTTTGTGTGTGTCGGCCTGCGTATTCGAGAAATTTTAACGAAAATGTGTACTTTGGCAGTAATCAAACTGGCGTCTCCCATTATAGAAGAAACCATCGTTGGGCCCAGTGTGCTTTACAGATCTCGGCTAACAACTCAGTAAGCCTCTATTTTTTTTTCTAGCCGATTGCTTGATGTAAATTTGAGGCGTTTATTTCAAATACAAGTATCCTCTACTCGGTTGAATCAAATGTTTTTTTTTTCGTTGTAAAAGCTTTAATTAGCAGTTCAAACAAATTACATACGAAAAGCATCAAAATCTCCCATCCTATTCTCTTGCCTGGTGCCATCTTTGTGACAGAATCTCAGTTCCACGCTTATACCATTTGTCTGGTTTAGAGGCAAAATATACCATGCACCAGTTTTCAACCTCTTGAACCTCATCATTGCTCAGAAAATGTTGTCATCTGATGGTGCAAGGTCTGGACTGTAGGCAGGTTGAGGCTGCACTTCCAAAAGATCGTTTTATAAAGTTTGCGTTTGGTCACATTGACAGTGTGTGATGCTGTAAGGTTCCGTGTCTTCGATTGGCCAATGCCGGCTTTCAAACCATCGTATATTTGCTGAGATTGTTGAGAATAAACGTCTGTATTCACAGCATGACGATCAGGGACAAGCTCAAAGTGCAACAACCCATCGACATTCCACCAAACACACATGGCCTTCTATTCAAATCTTCCCTGTTTGACAACAGGTTTTGAAGCCTGGTTTGAACCATGCCACTGATTTCTCTTATTACGATTAGGAAAATAGGTCCATAATTAATCCCCATTTACAATTCGCCGTCCCAAACGGGTAACTTGACGATCTGCCAGCAGTTGTTAGCAAATGTTCACACGTCGTTTAGCCTGGTCATGGTCAGTTCATGAGAGACTTCTCGAGAGCAAGGCCAAGGTCTTAATTGATCGTACATTGTGAAGGATCAAGTTCTTCTGACAATGTATGAGTTCTTGTGCTTGGGTGTTGTTCAGTCATTTCAAGCAAGGTCTCATCTACCACAATACAAGGTTTCCATGAGGTTGGTTTTTCTTTGAGTCTGGTACCACATTCCTTGAAATATCTGAAATAGTTTTGTGCCACACGTTTGCTGACAGTTTCTGGGCCTTCCACATAATTAATTTCTTTTGCTGCTATCCTTGCATTCAATACTTTTTACCGCAGGTAGTGGAAACTGACTTTGATTGCAGTTTTTGTCACCACTCATTATGAATGCTATAAAATAAGCAATAATTAATGTTAACATGCCATATATGAAAATAAAGTGTGAACATTTCAGTAACATTTTATGTAGTTATTAAATTAATGATATAGCATGTAGATACAAATCTTTTGACTCAAGCCGATATTATAACATTTGAAGTGATAAAAATGTCGGATTAAAAATAAAGTCATTCATGTAAATTATGTCTTTTAGATAAATCTATGAACTTAAAACACTTAAATATCCTTACTGAACAAAAGAAGTGAATTGATATCTACATGTAGACACAAAAGTAAAAACCCTCTCCAGTAATTTGAGCACAAATAAAATAGATTTTAAAATAGATTTTACGAATACTAATATATGTAACACCTATTAGTATGCATAGCACCCGCTATTAATAGCATTTTTATATCTATAATATGCACATATATAAGTCTATAGACCGTAGTTGATTATTTTACGTGTGTATATATAATTACACTTTTCTAAGTCTAATCCAAGGTTCAAAATGGATTATATATATATATATATATATATATATATATATATATATATATATATATATGTATGTAACGGATTTGACAGCTTAATTGATTCAGTTATGAAATTTTGTGCGATAATCTAAATGACACTTAAGTCCCGCTAGTCATTTACAAAGGAGGCCACGTATGAAGCAAGAGTGAGGATTGTGAGATGAGATGAGATCATTGTTAGATTGGCTGACCTTTTAGATCTTGCTCTCGCTTCTTGAAGATGATAATATATATATATATATATATATATATATATATATATATAACGCGCTAACTTGAGAGCTAAGCTTATCACATTAGGCATTATTTTAGTAATATACTTTAATAATTATTTATATTACTACGAACGGCGATTTTTCATACAAAAAAAGGGTGTGATCTCACTTGATGCATAGCGCGTTTAAGTAAATTCAGAATTTTTAATTTTTTTTTAATTCTCTGTCATTCGACCTTATGACTTTGAACAATAGAAATGAGTAATAATTAATTTGAATATTAAAGACAACAATGATATAAGGAACAAGTTTGAAGACACTATTTTAAATCAACTCTACGAGAACGCGAATTTCGTAACGTTTAACGACCACGGAGTATTTAGCTCCTGAAGATTGTGTGACTGCATGAAAGTCTTGCTAACGACGTGGGATATTATTCTCTCTCTCTCTATATATATATATATATATCTCACACACACACATATGTATGTATATACACAGGCTACGATTGATAAATTTTCATCTAAATGACGCAGTTGGTGAAAGTTGTCATAATCTTTGCCTTCAGTTACAAGGAGTTTTTGTTAGTCTCTCGCTCAACTACGCCCCACACGTAATTATCATGGCTATTGCTGTCTGGGGAGTTTGGAGGCCAGATATAAGGGGTAATGTGATGTCTGACAGCCATGACTTGGTTCCCCTGCTTGTGTGGCATGGTGCAGAGTCAAGTTGGCACTCCCTGTAGACCTCCCTGTTGAGTGTGAGAACCTTTGGGAAGATGATTCAGCCAAAATACCTTCGTAATCACCACTAGACTCATCCAACTCTTTCTGAATCGTCTGCACTGTCCCCAGATTGACACCCAAACACTCTGGAATGTTCGTATTGGAGTTTCAAGCGTAAATGCCAGGCAGTACAGCACGCCGTTTCCAAATTTCTGGCGGAGTGAATTGCATCATGGTGTTCTTTTCCTCAGCTGACCCGACTACAATGTGATCTCAACAAAATCAAAAACAAAAACGTGCATGCGCGAAATTTAATATATAAAATGGCTATGATATATATTTAAGATGACTATTTTCATTGTAATATTCTATTGAACTTTCGTCTATGGTACCAAGACTTTATGAATTTAAACGTAGTACTAGATTGGCCGCTAGGTCTCATCATTTTACAGTTGAAATGGCCGCTAGATGTAACCGTAAGTTCTATGCTAGGAGTTTCTTTGCGCGTTCTTCCAGCTTCTTGATTTCCAGTCAACTTTGATCATCAAAATGAAAATATAATATCACTGATTATCTTCTATCTTCTTAATTCTTGTTCTTTTATTGTTCTCAGATCCTTCATAATTTTCTGATATCCTCTCACACTCAGGGACCCCTTGCGTCTTAGTGGCTTTACTGGCCTTGCTTGGGGTGAAATGATTAAAAAAGAGAGAGATAGATATCAACAGACAAATAGATAAATAGATATATATTAAAAGACTTTGATAGATAGATATGAGAAGACTGAGATAGATAGATAGATAGATAGATAGATAGACAGACAGACAGACAGATAGATAGATAGATAGATAGATAGATATGAACTTACTGAGATAGATAGATAGATAGATAGATGGTGTTTCAATAAGTTGGATCGATTTTAAATGTGAATTAACTTTAAGCGTCTAATGATTTTCAGATTTGGCAGACATTTGGCGATATTATTTTCGTACATAATTGCCGTGACTTAAATAACATGATCCAATAGAGTAATAAATAAATTTTCACCAATAACACGGATTTATTTACTGCTGACTTTGGTCCGTGTTAATGAAACACCCTTATATATAATCCGTCTTAATGAAACACCGTATAGATAGATAGGAATAGATTGCAACTGATTCAGAATGATTTTGAAACAATTATAAATATTATATTAGAGAGAAGATCTCGAGAGATAAACAGAATAATTCGCATGAAGGAAATGGGTCGAATGTGATCAATCGATCCAGCGAGAACCAATCGCCTAGAGATGAGATGACTAATTAATTCCTTTCACACAACATTCACGCCAAACTGACCAGCTCCCAAGATACTGTGTCGCAATCGTTCCTGCCTGACATTCGAACTTCAACATTCATATAATTAATTTGTGTTTTTCCACAATTGAATTCCGTTGGTGATGTGCTAAAAAGACGCCTTTTCATAATTTACAGAACGGACACACATTGGAATGAATAATACCAATAGCAAATGAAAGCCCTACATTTTTGAAGCAGTTATAGCAGGTAACTAATAAACCGAACTTATTCTTGTACAAGATCATTTTGTTGAATCAACCAGTACAGATGAACTCATTACATGGAAGTAGAAGTAGTTCAGCGAGAAGTTTTCCACATCCGCTTCCTGTGGGAGAGAGGTTGAGTGTGGCTTCGGTAGGTGCCAAAGTGAAAATCAACTTTACTATGATATTTTCCTGGTTCTATGGATTTATCCTTACCAAAGCAGTGTATGGATTTTTGTGTAGTTTAGTGTTTGTCCTTGCAGAAAGGGGATCGGTGTTTTGTGCCCAAATTTCAGTCGTTGTACTTTTGTGAAATTTATGAATCCATTTTGATTGGCTATGGCTTAGTTTTAGGGTATACTATGCTCTCTAGCTTTGACTGGCCACTTGGCGAACACTGGGACACGGGCTATCAGATTAACAATCCATTTGCTATGGAATCAGCAGTTGCAAAATCATTCATCGTAAGGGACTTTATGGCATTAAGAGATACATATGATATAAATATCACTTTCCCATCGCTATGATGTGGCTTCACTGACTTTTCTATGAATATTTCAAAGGCAGTTCTTCGAATGAACACTTCTTCTTGACACCACGAACTCGTGAAGTTTGAGCGCATTACTAGATTGGCGAATAGGTCTCATTGTTTTACTCTTGAAATAGATTTTTTTACTCATTATTTTTTTATTAATTACTTTATTCTTTGTTGTTATTATTACGTTTACTTGTGGTTATTTGGGCATTCGTAGTTTGTTAATTTGTTCATTCTTTACTTAATTTGTTTACTTATTTATTGATTTTATATATATCTATATCCATATATATATATATATATATATATATATATATATATATATATATATATATATATAAAAGGCTCAAACACTAATATTCTATTCATCATACCTACAAATTTGAATTTTTGAATTTGTAGGTCTGATGAATTGGATCGGAGTTACGATTCCAATGTAATAAATTATAAACATGGAATATTAATGTTTGAGCCTTTTATATTATAATCTTACTCTGTCCTGGACATTGAGTTCTACCTGGATTCTATCCTCTTGGGAATTTATATATATATATATATATATATATTGACCACTAATATTATCTATATATATATATATATATATATATATATCAAACGAGAGAAAGAACAGATGGGGTAAAGATGGTTCGTAGCATTTATTTTTTTAAAAACGTGCTCAATACAAGGTGGAGTAAAATATTATAATATTTTTATTTTTTATTATAATAAATTACAATAAAAACATTTTACATCGCTACACAAAAAATAATGTTTCAGTACTAAGACGGTACTTCTTCAGGCAATGGCAGATAACTTGTGATAAAAATGATTTATTAGGGAAATGAAAAAAAACAACAACAAATCTTTACCTCTTTTCGTAAGTCAAAGTAGACATAAGGTCTGAATTAACTGAATTAACTAATTTAATTCAGACCTTATTCCAACGACAAATTGCTCAGTCAGACGCTTCACATTGACGCCCTTGTCTGGTTTTCCCAATAGTTTGACTTTCTTTGATATTGATAAACGATAAACATATAACTGCTTTCATTTTTTTTTCTTTTCTCTGACCATATGGAAATCTTCAGGACTTTTTAACGTTTCGAATAATATGTTTACTAAGCACGAAACACCTGGTAAGTAATACACAACAATCGCTAACAAAAAAACTGGCGCCAATGTAGGCCACGTAGCTGGTCTTGGGGAATCCCCACCTACGGTAGTTGAGGTTACTTTCAACAGCTTCACTTCATCTTGGAAATTTCCCAGTATTTTCTGAAATTTTCCATTTGTGGCAAGTTATGTCAGCATCTGAAAAACTTTCGGATTTTGGAATTGGGGGATAAAGGATACTCAACCTATACATACAGACGACAACGAACGGAAAAGGAATCCATAGACAAAATAGTTAAGAGGGATAAACCAAAAATTAATTAGACGCAGTGGGATAATAAAAATGTTTTCCAAAAGCTAGACAAAAAAGGAAAATATGAGAAGCAAAGAAAAGACTACTGAACTGTTAAATGATATCAATTCTCTTATATCTTCTGTATATGTCATGTGTTCTCAGGACTAAGGCGATCATGGCTCTCCACAACTTTCTCTCTCTTTTAGCTCTTAATAAACTTTGTCTTTCTGTTATTTTTTCCTAAACCCTGTTTATTTAAGCTCATTGGGTAGAAAAGTAATCTACATCTGACAGCAAGACCTATAATGAGGAGGAGCACGAAACCATCTCTTAATTGCTGTGTTCCAAGTTCCACCCTAACCGGAGGTGGTAGCACCTGTTAGGGTCCAGGCTATGGATAAATAATTAACCCCAAACTGTGGTTAAAACACTAAAAGTATAAAAAAAATTATAGTGAAACTACCAGCAATACATTTTTATAGTAAAAAGAAAAAATCCCAGCAATACATTTTTGTAAAAGAAATAACTAATTCTCACAAGAAATTAAATTTCGGCATTAAATGGCCCATAAGGAGTTGATATTCAGTAAAATAAACAAATGAATTAATATTTTTCTCTATCCTGTGAGTATCTGATTTTCCAAGCCCTTTTTCCTCATTCTATGCCCCAGAGAACTCTTATATGACAGTCAATATTGGACAATATGCCCACAAATGAAGAGGAGATTTGAAGGAATACAAACCTAGTTCTACCGATGAATACTGTAAATACTAAGGGCAGAACATGTGAGTAATGAGGAATTTTAAAGGAAACGGAAATAAAAAAAGACATTTATATATACATTTTATATTTTAGATCAGAAAGACATTGTTGACATTTCTAGGACATATAATGAGGAAAGAAAGCTTGGAAAATTTGACACTCGCAGTAAATATTGAACCCAAGAGGGACACAGGAGAACAGCGAGTTATCTACTTAAGTAAATGGATGTACCGTGTCCCTTCAAGACGTTGGTGATCATGGCTCTCCATAATTTCCGTTTTTTTCAGCTTTTCGTAAATTTTCTCTCTTTGCTATCTCGTTATAAGCTCGTTAGCTAATGCATTCACTGCATTCCTCTGTTTCGCTTTTCTTTAATTTCCTATGAGTGTCTAATTTTCTAAGCCCACTTTCCTCATTATGTGCCCAGAAATTTCAACTGTTTCTTTTCTCATTTTAAATAAAAGGTTTCCTTTTTGTTTTTTATTTTCTCTAAAACTTACATTAATTGAAAAGGTTGAGAGTGAAATGACACGAATTTTTGCAGAAGGCAATAAAAGAATTATTAACTGGACAATGAATAGAGACGATAGTGTATGAGAAACTAGAGATATACGGTGAGGTCCGCGGTTATGGTGTAGAATTCTCAAATGAAGACGGTGTAATCAATAGGCATAAACCTGCAGACATTCTGCAGAAGAATCGACTCGGTGGCAATGTTATTCAATAAAGATGACGCAATCAATATTGTTTTGTTAGAAACGAACAAATGAACCTCAAGTTGTCTGCGAAACGGTCGACAAGTGAAAGAATTGGCAGCTATTCGTATTTATTCAACAGATTTTCCATAATTTATTCAAGAGGAAGTCATTTTTGAATCGATTTTTCTATTCGATATTATTTCGATATTATCAAGGAAACCGCATTTTTAGCCCAAATTTAACAGTATCAGTTTGGCGAGGTAAAGCAGCCCAGTTTCAATTACAATAAACAAAAACATATCTTTCCTTGTGAAAACGTAAATGACAGTAATTTTTTAACAATTTTTACTATTACTATAAACGTTAATTTTAGAGAGTGCACATGTTTGAGTTGCTATTCATGATTTTTTTCATTTTCTTAAACAGTGAAATTAATAAGAACAGGCCTAGATTGATTAAATAGTGACATTAATAAAACCTTTCCTACTAAAGAAAGATTGTGCCTCCGACAGGAATCGAACTTTTATCATTTGTTCCATTTCAGAAAAACGCAGTTTTAGTTAGAGGGTAAGAAGAATATTATGAAAAGGCAGGTTTGCGTCCATTGAGAATTGTCGTTCTGAAAAGGACAATTTTGTAATTATTGAAAAGTCTTCTCCTGAAAAAGACAGTTTTTTTAGCTGTTGTGAATTGTTTTCTTGCAATGAACAATTTATCGCATTTCGTTACTACTGACAAAGATGTCTGTCTGGAGGTGGGGGTCCGGCTGGAGAATGGCTGGCTGGAACTGAGACTGATAGCAAGCTGTAGCTGGAGTGATGACTGGCTGGCTGGCTGGAACTACTGCATTTGCTGCTGGCTGGAAACGTAACCGGCTTTCTCGTGCTGGAACAGATACTACACTTTTTTTATATATGCCAAATCAGTTTTACAAGAGTCTCCGTTACTGGAAGGTGAAGTTTCTTCTTCTAGTAGTTTTTTTTTTTTTTAATTTTAATGGGGGAAGGCAGATAGGATACAACGCGTATTCGGATTTTGATGTCGCATTTTCCTTTTCAGGTATTTAAACTTCTGCTCGTGTTTAATGGTGATACCACCAAATATTTAACTCGCATCTTGGGCTTTTCCTGGTAGGGGCTCTAGATCCCTTAGGACAGTGTTGCTGTAGTGGTTATATAAATGTGGGGATAAGACACATTTTTTTTCGTCT